AATATGACCAACTTGACCTTGCAAAGTTTTTAGAGACAAGCTATGGCTTTGAAGTGAGGCTCATTGACTATGAAGCAAAGCTCCTTGATTTTCAATTAAAGTAGAATGGTATTGCAACATTGTCTTCATGGTAGATATGAAATCTTGAATCGTGGCCTCTAAAGAACTAATGTTTGTTGAAGATGAGGCTCCCTTGTTAACATTATGTCATGGTATAGTGTTTTGGTAGCCTTAAGATTCAGTAAAATTTTACTGACGAGTAAGTTGATTAGCATTAGGGGCTCCTTAATTACCCCATGAAAAATTAGGATGTTGGCGCTATCCTGCATAATAGGTGTTAGAATAGGGATTATTATTGCTTCAATTGAAATTACCTACAAAATTGATGGACTCATGATTGGTTAGGCATTTGCTCTTGTGATGATTATAATTTCCTTGGCATAACAGACATGTGGAACTAGTTGTCTTTACTTCTCTTACCTTATTAGAGTGTTGTAAGTTTTTCAACATATTAGTGATAGCTGAGAGTTGAGCAGACACATAGTCCTTGGTATCTAACTCAAATTCCCCAGGTGTTTTTCTCTCAGTGATTTATCAAGCAATGTCCCATTCACTGAGGCATCAAGTATCATTCTCGTGGGTGTATTGACTCCATTATAAAACATAACTACTTGAGTCTAGTCTTGAAAACCATGATTAGAACATTTACGAAGTAAAATATTCTAACGATCCCAATATTCATTCATGGATTTTTCATCACCTTGGCAAAAGGATGCTATGTCATTCCTTAGCTGAGTGTTCATGTTTAGCGGGTTATAGCGCAATAGAAAGCTTTTACAAAGATCAGCCCATGATTCCATTGAACCAGATGGAACACCACTAAACCAATCCCTTGCTCAGTCACGCAAAGAGTATGTAAATAGCTTTAATTTTAACACATCCTCATGCACTCCTTGTTGGCGAAAAGAATCAAAAACCTAAAAAAAGTTACAAATATGCTGCCTGACATCTTCAGTTGACATGCCCCCAAATTTCCCTATAGAATTCAACATATAGAACATGAATGATTTGAGCTCAAAATAGGTTACTTGAATTTTGGGTACCACAATTCTAGGATTCAAATCATCTAGCATTGGATTCAAATGAACACAAATAGCACAAGGCCTATTAGCATGCCCAACATTGTTGAATGCCTCGTCATTCTGATTACCTTCTTCTTGACCAATGCCCTAGTTCCCAATTTGATACATATGTTCTCAAGCGCGTTGAGAACGTCTCCTTTGCTAAAAAGTCTTTCAATTTCAAGTTCAATTGATTCTAATGGATCGTCATAATATCTTCTAGGCATACACCAAATAAGCCTAAAAAAGAATAAAGTCAAATAGCAAGTAAAATATACAAAAATAAAGAAGGAAAATAAAATGCTATTGCAAACTAATTAATTTCACATTGCCAATCTCCGACAATGGAGCCAAAAACTTGTTGCGTGTTGTGAGTACTATAAAATTATACGCAAATGATGTGCAAGTATACACAATCAAACAAGTAATATAATGATGAGTGAGTATCGTCTCCACAGGGATTGGTGGAAATTATGATGTTTAACCACAACACTACACTAATTTTTCTAAGTACATAAATGATATATACATTGATGATGCTTCGGCGATGAAAATATGAGAGTGAAGGGAATGATGGTCAGGGAATGTTATTGAGTGAATAATGTTGTGGCAAAAGAACAATGTATAATGATGAAAATGATGAAAATGTTGAGGCAATGTAAAATGGTAAAAACACAAAATAAATGAATAACTTGATAATCCTCACACGAGAAACTACTTCAGAAATGAATGGTAGGAGACTTTTAAGGAGCTGAAAACTTATCTCTTTAGATGATCTAGTCTTTTAATGTTTTATTTGTTCAACAGAGTTTACTAAAAGTGTTCTCTCTATCTCTAGTCATAAGAACATGACAGAGGAGAATGTCACGATATCTCCTCTCAGTCTCAACTATGGCATCATACACTATTGATGATGCACTACCCTTATTAGTCGTAGAAATCCTAGCTTAGTCTTTCTCAAGAACTAAGGTATTCTGCTATAGTGATTAACTATACCACATTGCTTATGTTAATCTTACTTAAGTTTCTCTTGAACACTTAAGAATTAATGACTAGATTTCTCTCGAACATCTAGTCTTCATCTAAGAAATAGACACTCTCATGCTTCCTATAATCTTAGAAGATGAAGCACACATAAACAAATAAGTAAAAGAAAAAGATAGACATTCATCAACCATTAAAAAAAGTTTTCAAGCATCTTTCAAATGAACCCCACAAAATATAGCTTAGTTTATGGTGGGGCTCGAATAAACCATGGAGAATATCCAATCATTCATTCAACCAAACAACCCAAATAAGTTTTCAAGCTTTAACAATGGAGCAAAGGTTGGAAAAGAAGACACTAGGTGTTCATGGCCGACGCTTCCCTTGAGATCACCATGAACGACTATAGCGTGAGCTCCTCTCAAACGCTACGCCACTTCCTTGAGCTTCAACACCAAAAGAAATGGAGAAAGAAGACCGATAAAAATTTTTGAAAAAGATAATGAATTTCAAGTTTGTGTAACAATCCCCCTTTCTCTTTTGTGATGTCCATTAATAATAAAAAAATCTAATGGTATTATTGGGAATTTTTCACTCAAAATACCTATTAGACCCCCAAAGTAATTCCTTGTACATGAAGTCTATCTCCACAGGTGTCAATGGACTCCATTCAGGCGGTTATCAGTAACAAACACATGCTTTGACATTTGTCCTATTGTGAAAATATATTTTTGTCCTTTTCTGCTTCAGGAACACGTGATGCCGCGACATTCTTCTCAGCTCACCCTATGCTCCTTGTTTCCTGCACATCACTAACCAACCACTCATTTCCCATCATATATCACCTTAGCAAAGTAAAAATAACACAACCACCACAAAAAATCTACATGCAACTATATGAATCTAAAATGACCTATATGAACCCTTAGACAAACAATAACTTAAGTGAAAAAGGCCTTAAAAGTAGCTTTTTATGGAGTTATCAAGTATCAATTTAATATGTGAAAAACAACTTAATAAATATTGAAAAATAACAACATAAAGTCACATGTTCAATGTTATGATAATTTTCTTGTTAATATAGAATGTTAGTGTAGTCATATTATAATATTTATTTTAAGTAGGGTATTTTTCTAGTTTTCTCTCTTATTTTTAGTTCCACCGTTAGAGTTTTTTCATCTTTGTAATCAATGACAACATTAGTTTTAATATTGGTCGTTGACCGTTGATATTCATTATTTTATTATATTGTATCTTTATTTTTTTCTTGTTTTTAATTTTTAATTTTTTCTTGTTTATTTGATTATGTTTCTATATAAATGTTGTTTATAAAAATGCTTCACAAACATTTTAATCAGCTGTCTTATTTCAATCGGTAGAGCGTGTGACTTTTAACCATGTGGTCGTGGGTTCGATTCTCACAGACATCTTAACCTTTTATTCTAATAGCATTATGATAAACATGGCTTAAAATTTATTAAAGAAAAAATAGGTAGTACAATTTTTCAGGAAAAAAAAATCTTAGATATAAGACATGCCATACTTCAAGAAGCACATAGTAACCATGCCATTATGCGCACGTTATAAAGGTAATACAATTATTAAAGATTTGAAAGAGTTGTACTATCAACATGGGTTAAAGCGTGATGTAAAAGATCTCATGAAAAAATGTTGGACATTCCAGTAAATTCGTGTCGAACATCAATTCCCTTTTGATTTATTGTTATCCCATTTAGATTTCTTAGTGAAAAAAATATGTATGGGTAATAATGGATCATTTCACTAAGCTAGCATACATTTTACTAATTTGGACCGATGACTATTCAAAGACTAGTTAAGTTGTGCATATTTGATATTGTAAGGTTGCATAGATTACTTTTATCAATATCCTAGTTTTACATCATATTTCTAGAAGGTTAGTATGAGGCACTAGGTATTGAATTGAATATCACTTATCAATTGTAATTTTAGATCAAATCTATTCGTGTCTATCTTTTATTTGAATTTATTTTATTAGGTTTCTATATAAATATAGTTTATACAAATGCTTCACAAATATATCAATTAGCCATCTTAGCTTAGTTGGTAGATTGTGTGGCTTTTAACCATTTGATTGGTTCGATTTTCAAAGATGATCTGACTTTTTATTCTATTAGTACATGATAAACATTACTTAAAATCTATTAAAAGAAAATAGAGTACCAATTTGTACTTGAAAAATAACTTCATAAATATTGAAAAATAACAACATAAAGTCGCATGTTCGATAATTTCTTCTTAATATAGTCATATTATAATATTTATTTTAAGTAAGGTATTTTTCTAGTTTTCTTTTTCTTTTTCATCTTTCATTTGTTATCATTCTAATCTTTCTTGCTTTAGATCATCGTATTGGATTTCGATACTTGATTTACGTTCGTGGATAATTTTCTAACGTGTCTCGATTCTGATTTACATTTTGTCGATTGTCTTTTAATAGCTTAATCTCCTTTTATAATATATTTACCGATACGATCAAATATGTTTGTATCTAATTTTTATTTGAATTTATTTGATTATATTTCTATATAAATGTAGTAAATACAAATGCTTTACAAATTTTTCATTCAGCTGTCTTATGTCAATTTATAAAGTGCACTACTTTTAATTACGTGGTCGTGTGTCCGATTCCCACAGACGGTGTTTTTTTTCATTTTGGGTTAGAGGAACATACTTAGCACTTGTTGCCTGTGAAGCCCATGATAAATCTGACAGGTCCATTTTACCCTCGATTTCATTTTTAAATTCAATTTGGCCCACCCAAAATAATTCAAAAGTTAAGTTATATGAAATCACTATATATCAAATGATAAAACTTAAGATTGCGTTTTGATTTTCCTTTGAAATATATCGTTATCCAAGGACTAAAACAAAGACCATTTTATAGCAGTAAAAATTGAATTACTATATGACCATGAGCTGAGGGCTACATGTTTTCTTTAATTTGCAGCCGCTTCAGCTTACAACTTTTTTACCATCAACTGGACCTTTTTTAACTATTACAATCCACACCGAAAACAAAAACACTTAAGCAAAGATTAATTCCAGAAAAGAAAATTACCCACACAACTTCACTTGGTGACTTTCCTATCTATTCTTTCTTTTAGGCAAGTAAATTCCACCCAAAAGCACATTTTTACTTTTACCCACCACTTCAAATTTTCCCGAGAAAATTAAGGAAAATTGAAGGGCCAGAAACAAAAGGGAACTATACTCATATATGTTTAAATAGGGGGAGACGAACAGTGTTGTGTGTTTCAAACGCGGAAATTCTTTCCGGTGAAGGTCTGTCCGAACTGCCAATTAGCGGGTACCAGGTTCCAGGAGGTGGAGGTCCGTCCGTCACTGCCGGTGACCCTAAACGAGAGCTTCTGTCCTACCAAAATGGAGTTTGACTGCCAGTTCTGACCCCAGTTACGACTCATGCTCAACCAATCGGTGTTGGTTCCCTTGATGCTCAACTTCACGATATCCCCTGCACCCGCGACGTTGGTCACTAAAACCAAGTTGAAGTAACGGAACCCGTTGATCGTGAATCTGATTCCGCCTTGCTTCTGGCAGGCCACTCTGTAAAAAAAAATAAAAAGGAAGGGCAATTATGTGAATTCAAAAAAAATAAAAAGGAAATCCTTCTTTTGCGCAATTGATGATATGAGAGAACAGTTACTGCGCGTGGGATGTCGTGAAGTTTGTCGTTTTAAGGATGTCTGATTTTCAGGGAAAATCTTTAGTGAGTCGTAAATTTACGGTACTACCCTGACAAACTTTTTACTTTCGAGAACCGAGAGGTACTCACTTTAAGGGATAAGGGTGTTTGGGTCCTTTCTCGGCTCAGCCGCTGGTTGTCTAAATTTGGTTAAACGACAATAAATTCTGGGTTGATTCTCAAAATCTCAACAGACACCGACATTATGAGCTCATAAAGGACTATTTTTCTGGGTATATTATATATTTAGGTTATAAATTATTATTTTTATTTTAGTTTAGTACTTAATTTTCTTTTTTTCAAAATCATGTCTAATATTTATTTTAAGTTTTAACTTAATATAATGCCATTCAAAACTTGGTGTCGATAATGTGAAACTTATATTAGACGACGCGTGGAATATTAAAAAAGGGAAAATCATTTCATGTAATTGCTATTGCTAAGCTTTTAACAGCGAAAAAAATTAGCTAATAATTTTTTAACAGCGAAAATCAAATTAAAATTAAAATTAAATATTAGGTATATTTTGAAAATATAAAGTTTAAGTAATAAAACAGAATAAAAATACTAATTTAGATACTAAATGTGTAATTTACCCTTTTTATAATTTGATAATATATTGTAAAAAAACACTGTTTGGTTCCTGAGAAAACTCCAGCAGAAAACGCATTAAATGCATACAAACACGGTATAAAAAATTCCATTTTTACCCAGATGTAAGAATTAACGGCTCAAAGAAAAAAAACAGATTTAAGGGAATTTTAGCTGCCTTACCTTCGGAAGGAAACGGGTACAATACCGGCACGGTACTCGGCGATCTGGAGGAACATAGGCATGGCAAGGTCGAAGTGAGGGCGAGGAGGATTGCACCAGCCGCCATTATCATTGGGGAGAGCGAAATTAGGAGGGCAAAAGTTAGTGGCAGTGATGAAAATGGAAGGGTTTCCTGGTTTACACCATCTCGGGTCGTCCGTGCACTTAATCTCGAAGCAAGCACCGCAGCTGAGCCCATTGTTGAACAGCGCAGTGCTTAATGCTGCTGTGTTCACGCCATAGCCTTGGCTGTACAGATTCCCATATCCACATGCACCGCCTGAACAAAAACGGAAAATCATTTACACATTTTAACATATTGGGTTTTCTTTTTACTGTTTTTGTAAACTAAAAACAGAGCAGAAACTCAGAACAAATGAATACCCATCGTTCCAGAAGCATCACTGCCACCATAGAAAGTAGCATGGGCAGACTCCCAAGGTCCACCAGTGTAAACTCCAGGGATTTTTGCATTCGCCATAGAAAAAAAGCACATCAATGAAGCCAAAAAGAACATTCTCAAGGGAGAAGTAGAAAAAGCAGCAGCCATTGTTGCTTTTTTTTCCCTTTTTTTCCAGGAGGTGATTTGTTAATTTGGGGACGAATAGAAAGCGGGAAGAAGGTGGGGGTACTTATTGAGGAGTTGGAAGGGCCGAAGAGTGGGGGCCCATATTAAATTATTACTCTATATGTAAATATAATTAATGCAGTCCATTCTTCTCATAAATCCAATTTTGTCTCCATAAATTTGAGTAAATATAAAATATTAGCTCTTTAAAGGCTTTTAATCTTTTTGTTAGTAAAAATTCATATGATCGTGTATATATATATATATATATATATATATATATATATATATATATATATATATATATATATATATATATATATATATATATATATATATATATATATATATATATATAATGTTCGAACTTAAAACTTTAAAATATAACAATAAATTTTCAATCATTAAAATTATTTAATTTATTTATAAATAAATCTATTTTTTTAAATAAATTATTTATTTATTATTTATAGTACATGTTTAGTTTTGTTCCTAATTCTAAGACTCCGAATTTGGAAGACCATGTGGTTCACACATGGGCAGTTCTTGTTTATTTTTCCCTTAGTCAAAGAGTTGTGCAAAAATTGAAGACCTAATTGCCATAATTTGAATTGTTGCACATGCATCCTTGAACTAAGATACTACTAGAAGGATTGGATTTTTTATTTCACATTTAAATCGAGTTTCTTAAATATTTATTTATTTATTTTATATTAGATATTATAAAAACTATGCATGAGACTCTCTCAAATTGATTTGTTATATTCATAATATCGATATTTAAATATAAATATTATTCAAGAGATTTAGTACTTAGTCATGCTTGGCCAACAATTAATTGGTGATTTTTTAGGGTAAATTAACGTTTAATTGTTATATTTTTGGGTTTTTATTGAGTAAAATTTATTGAGTTCAACCGAAATAAGATTAAGAGTTAAACTTATTTGGAACTTGCAATAAACACTATTTTTAAGGATTTTTCGTTCTATACTGTATCCTCTAAGGTTCAATAAAGTTAGATAATTTTTTAATAATAATAAATAAGTATTTTAAAAGATTCTTCAATAATTTAAAATAAGCTAAAAATAACTTTTAACAATTAAAATATTTTTACTTTAGTTAAATTTAAAATTATTAATTAAGTTATTTATTATTTTTTAAGTTTTCTCAAAATTAAAATAAAATCATTGTACATATATAAGACTGACTCGATTCTTATCGATTTTAGTATATTAACCTTAACTAGGCTTTTACAAATTCAATCAGATATTATAATTTATAAATAAGATTCTCATGATTTTTCTAAATATTAAATTTAATTATTTTGAAATATCAAAATTTTTTAGACATTAATTTCATATTAAACCTTTTGAGTTATTAATGTCATATTCATAATAAGGTTCAATTGCTTGATAATAAATTCGTTGTTTTTGTATTGATAATTCCTAGTTGAATGAATAACAAGGACGATGATTTTTATCCTTTGGGTTTTCGAGGGTTGGTTCTCTTTCATTATTTTTTATTTATTAATATTTAATACATATTTAATCACTATTTATAAGCTGATTTTTACATTTAATTCATGTGTCCTACACATTTGAATGGTGATAATTAATATATTAGTTATTAATGGAATAAAAATAATAGATTATATCTTGACTCGTGTTTGTTTATAATAATTTGTATATAATTCATTGGTCAATTAATTCGACACAGGTACTATAAAATTTTATTATGGAAGTGATTAAGTCATGGGTTGAGCAAGATATGGTTTTAGACCACCTCGATTTCGATATATTTCATTAAAAACTTGACTCGATATGAATTTATGAAGGTATCACTCACCTCGAACATACCTAATATTTTAGGTGAAAACTTAACCTATGATGTATGTGCGTCGTGTCTCATTTCGACTTTCAGATCAAAGCACATATTTTTCATCTGCATCATCCTTCGAATCATCTCCCTTTTCCCCTAAAGTATGCCAACACCGCATGTCCTTTGCTCACTACACTTAAACCAAACACGATCGTAGAACTCCTCCTCCTCAAATCGCATTTTCGCAACTCAAACCCTCTTTGGTCCTCATTGTTTTTCCTTCCTCAGATTTACTTACTAGCAAACCCTTTATCCTTCACCTTTCGCAATTCACCGCCCTTCAAACGTGAAGCTTCCCTTCATGTCGCATTCTACCTCTATTCCTCTCCATAATCACACCACTCTTTAACTTGTTAGGCCTAACTCTCTAGCCCTTCTCTTAAATCTCTATTTGTCAAGAACCTCACCACGAATCATTGTCGATCGAGAAATAGAGAAGAAGAAACATAAAGGTAAGTGAAAAGGAAAGTAAAAAAAATAAAATAAATAGAGAGAAAAGTGAGAGAATGACAACAAATGGATAAATGAAATAAGGGAAAAAGAAATCCAAATACACAATGACATTTTTATAAATATATTAAATAATGTATATAAATATTTTAGGTTGGATCTAGTATTTTTAATCTTCAACGAGACTCTAACTGTTCCATGAAGAAAACTCGACCTAACCTGAATTCGAATTTTAAAAAAGAAACTCGATCCTATAAGGTATGGTCGAAACCCGTTAGATTCATGTTATTTGACTATCCCTAAGAGTAATCCTCCTAATCTATTTTTTTCATTCACATCATCAAGATGTAAGCATATGACATTGTTTAAGGGATCTAGCATCTTATCCTACTAGACAAACTAGATCATAAACCATCATCAAGATTTTTCGCATTGATAAAGACACCGAGTTTTTTAACTATGAGTGTGACTAGTTGTTTTCTTCTCTAGGAATTGTTCACCAAACTTCTTGTGTCAAAACACCTCAACAGAATGTTATTACCAAAAGAAAACATAGGTATATTTTAAAAGTTGCTTGGACTTTTAGATTTCATTCTAAGGCTCCGATTAAATTTTGCTGAGAGTGTGTTCTTGTTGCTTGCTATATCATAAATCGGCTGCCTACCTTTTTTTTAAAAAAAATCCTCATTTGAAATTTTATATCACAAGCCTCCAAATTTATCTCGTCTATGTATTCAATTGTTTGTGTTATGCTACTAAGCCAAGGATAGAGAAAATTTTGTTTCTAGAGCCATACCCTCTATTTTTTGCGGTTATCTAAGTACTCAAAAGGGTTACATCTTATTGTTGCGGAAGACGACTATCGGATAGAGCAAAATTGCAACTAATAATTTGAGAAAATAAAAATGAAGATAAAAGAGACACAAAATTTACTTGGAAATCCCCTAAATAATATAGGGTAAAAACCACGGGCAACGGTAGAAAAATTTCACTATGAGAAAATAGGAATTACAACTTCTCTCGATCTACCAAGGAGAAAACAATAATCCTCTCTTGATAAAAAGGAGAAAACAACTCTCAAGAAAACTCTCTAAATTCTCTAGTATTGGGAGAAAGCTAGAATGATTTGGGATGGTTTTGAAGCTAAATGAGCTAGGGTATATATAGTTGAAGCTTAAGGACTAATCTTATAAATACCCTAATTTACAATGACTAATTTTGTCATTTACCCATTACATAATTTCAACCAAATTAGCTTTATTTTTCCACACTTTCGGTGCTTTTCCACCGAAAATAGCCCAATATTATTGAATGGCCAAGTTGGCCAAACCTTTGATTTTTTCAACAATCTTCCACTTGAAGATTTGATTGGAACAATCATATCTTCACACCATTCTTTCTACCTTGTACCATCATGTTGCTTACGTTTCTGACAGGCCATAAGAAGATCGACACCAAGTAAATTTATCAACGTTGATCGCCTTCGTCATGAAATCTGTTATGTTGTCTTTAGTATGGATCTTCTGCATATCTACCGTCGCTTCTTCCACCTTTTCACGAATGAAGTGGTACTGAACTCGTATGTGTTTTGTCATTGAATGAAATGCTAGATTCCTTGCTAGATCCAAGGCACTTTGACTATCACAAAACAGAGAGACATACTCTTGATTGTGCCCAAACTCCTCCAATATCATCTTCAACCATATTGCTTCTTTACTGGCTTGTGTAGCTGCTACATATTCTGCTTCTGTTGTGGATATAACCATAATTGACTGCAATTTTGAAACCCAGCTTACAGCTTCACCAACAACTTTGAACACATATCATATTCTAGATTTGCTTTTATCCAAATCCCCTGCATAGTCAGAATCTACATACCCATTGATAAGTAAGTTTGATCCTCCTTAATATAATGCAACATTTAAGGTTCCTTTGATGTATTTCAGGATCCTCTTTACTGTATTCCAATGCTATTTGCCTGGATTCGCCATGTACCGACTAACCACTCCCACTGCTTGTGCAATGTCTGGTCTTGTGCATATCATAGTGAACATTAAACTTCCCACTGCTGATGCATACAGTACTCGATTCATCTTCGTCCTCTCTTCTTCACTGCTAGGACTCATACTAGAGGATAATTTGAAGTTAATAGGAAGAGGGGTAGAAATTGGCTTACAATCTTGCATGTTGAATCGTGACAAGATCTTCTTCAAGTAATTCTTTTGTGAAAGCCAAATCTTCCTATTACTTCTGTCTCGGTGAATTTGCATCCCTAGAATCTTGTTTGCTGATCCCAAGTCCTTCATTTCAAATTCCTTAGCCAGTTGTGCCTTCAATTCTTCAATATGATCTTTGTTGGGTCCTGCAACCAACATGTCATCCACATACAACAACAATATAACAAAATCGTTATCATCAGACCTCTTGAAATAAGCACAAGGGTATGCATTAAGTCTGTTATATCAAAGGCACATAATGAATGAATCAAATCTCTTATACCAACACCTCGGCGCATGCTTTAGATCGTACAGAGATTTGTTCAACCTGCAAACCAAGTTCTTATTTTCTTTTTTTTCAAAACCTTCAGGCTGGAGCATATAAATCTCTTCTTCAAGATTTCCATGAAGAAAAGCTATTTTAACATCTAGCTGCTC